ACACACACACACACACACACACACACACACACACACACACACACACACACACACACACGTGCCCGCGCAGAGCCAGCAACCAGATGTGTGATGACAGTTGCGAAGGCAGCACTTAAGCATAGGTGTCCCATGTTTGACCTTTCACCTACTACCTTGAGCAGAAAGCTTTTCATATGGAGGCCAGCCATCAATCAGCTCCGCTCAATCACACATATACGCAGCATCCTCTCATTGCTGACAAGCTTTCCTGGCCTGCCATCCATCACTACGTTCTGCCCTTTTACTGACATCGAGGAAAATACAAACACTTCACACTTCTCCACATGTCTCCCTTGTTAAGGTCCACACATTTCGCACCGCAACAAAAGCTGTCCCACAGCGATGGCTCCCTGACGCCATGGGATGTGTTTTTGTGTTGTCAGGTGTTCTGCAGATGTCCCCACAAGGGAGACGCTCCCTGGTGTTCTGCTTTCTGACATTGCAGCACCTGCACGGAGAAATGACGATCCCGGTGCATACAGGCTAATGACAGCCGCACATATGTGACAGAGCGGCTGTGATGATCCTGGCAATCATTTGGCTCGAAAGCAACTGGATCAAAAGTCTTGCAAGTGTCGCGGTTGGCCCTGTCTCGTTTCGGAACATGCCAGCGCTGTAACATTTTCAATTTCGGTACATCCTTCAGCTTTGTATTTTGTTTGTTTGTTTGTTTGTTTGTTTGTTTGGGGTGGTTAACCTGCTTGTATTTTTACATTCCACATATGCATCATTCACCAGAATTGCATACCTTATATGCTGTAGTACATAGTAACCAGAATGAGAATTCTTAGTTCATGAGGAAGAGCCTTGATGAAAAATACATTTTCGCATTGCTCTTCAGTCAAAGTATTCTTATTACCGGAGTCATTGTGCACAGCTCGTGTCAATGTCCGTCTGTGAGAAGGTGCAGGGTGACAGGAGCGTGAGGGGCTGTGTTAAAAAGCCCGGGGTCCGATTTAGACATGCATGAGGATCCACACAACTGGCTGCAGAGCAAAAAGAAGACGACACGCTAAACATATCGGACTGATTCAAAATGCATGAACATGTCACTCTTGGCACTGGAGGCCTCGAATGAACAGCCAACTCATTTTGTGGTCCGAAACTGACATTTGGGACCCTTCGGAGCAGCTGGAACTTGATTTCAAAGCTATTTGCAGCTTGCCAATGCATCAATCCATCCATCCATGAAAATACATTTTTAGTTTAAAGGTAAATGTGAAGATATGTAAATGTGACTTTGAGACAAGTAAAAGGAGCGTGTTGTGATATCAGCCAGAAAGAGTTGAACACAAAAGACGTTGCTGATGAATTTGATGACAATGAATCACAAGTGGTGTTTTTACAGATGACGGTGTAATTGTCTTACCTTGTTTTAGGGGACGTTGTTAGCCATTCTTCATGCTTTTCAAATGTTATCAAGTAAGCTGCGATCTCCTGCGAAAAAGAGCGGAGAGGAGAGGGGAGGCGTGTGAGACTTTGATATGTCATTTGTCATCACACTTCTCTGGTGCTTATAATACGTTCAGACCACTTAGTTGGTATTCCGACAGCTTAGCCAGCAGTATACATGGAGGCAAAACAGTACCAGCGGGTAAACGGAGACCAGTAAAGCTAACGAGAAAGGCAAAAGTTGAAGGCAGTTAAGGTCAGAACATCATCTGAGACCATCTTTGTTCCGAAAGCTTTGATCAAGCTCAAGGACAATTAAGGTGCTCACTGAATGAAAGATGGACGTCTGTGTCTTCCAGACACAGCGGCTTCTAATAGTTTTGGCCCGATCCTCTCCCAAATCCTTTTGATCTGCCCTTGACACTCCTCTAAGGATCAATCCCCTCTTTCACCTTTGAATAAAAATCACACAACAGTCATCCACTACAGTGTGTGCTGCTAGTTTAGGAAAGCCCGTGGAGCCTTTGGAGTCAAGTGATGGACTACGCAATGTTATATAGATCACACGTGCCAAACCCGAAGAGCGGGTGCCGGATCTGGCCCCGTCACATCACTCTAAAGGCAAATCAGGTGCATTCACTTCATGTTTCTTGCTAAACACAACATTGCAAATTGTCTTCATTTTTTGTTACCAATCCCCCTTTTGAAATAGGTTGAAAAATAACCAAACACATTATTTTTCACAACTCGCAATCCATCACTTTGTTGTGTATGTGTGATATAATGAGGCCATTGTTGTATATGGCTTCACAGTCAAACCATAACTGTGATGCGGCCCGCTTCAAATACGAGCCTGAAACGCCTGCTACAGAATGAAATTGGGGCGGGGGGATAAGCCACATTCATATTTCCTGTGCTTGCCTTGCGAATGCAAAAGTCTGAGCGTACGAGAGAAGATGCTGGACCTCAGCTGGCCATTTTCTCACCAAACTAATGGGCATAAATAAAAGCACATTACATTCTATTTGACAAGGCAATGATTACCAGCGACAGGCGGCAATTCACGCCTCAGCTAAGACATTTATCACGCACTTGGACTGCCAAGAGCATTTGACGCAAGGACAGAGATGGTGCCGATGTCCAAATGAATTTAAAGATGTGCACTTCTCTACAAGGTGAAGTGTTTTCTTTGGTAGAATACTGTCTTGCTTGTTGTCTAAGGCTCAGGTTCTCAATGGAAAAATGTAGAAAAGTTCCACTGCTTCTTTGGACCGAGTGCAGCTCATAAGTAAGAAAGAAAGAACGTCAAGCAGAAAAAAGCCATCCCTTCGTTTCTTATTCAAGATGGACGTTGGCGTAAGTATGACCTGGCCCAGAGACACAGCACGTCAGCCATTGCCAATAAGGATGCTGCAGGGGGCGGCCATGTGAGGCTGTTTCCAGGCAGCAGGCCCAACTAAAGGAGGCTGGAGCATGAACTGGTGGCCTTGCCTCCAGGCGCGGAAGGGGACTAGGACTTGCTATTTCGATGGTTGTGCTTTTCTCGCTCTGTCTTTGCAAGGTTGCTTGACTCTGTTCAGGCTGAAGAAAGCCCAACACTAACCTCAGTGACAAGTGTTTTGTGGAAGCACAAACACGCAGAGCAAATGTGTTAATTTTTTCAATAACAATTACGGCGAGCACAAGGAAAAAAGGGTCACGCTAACATTATTTTTATGCACGCATCTGTAAGTAAATTAAACTAACAGCTCTGATGAGATTACCGCAAAATATTCAGCAGGGAGATCGGGGTGGGGGGGGGGGGGTTACCACAGAGCCTGTTAGCACTGAGCCCTGCTCCATCACTCCTCTCTTAAAACTCCATGCACCGTTCTCACGACCAGAGGAGGAGCGAGGCAGAAGCATGGGCTCATGTGAAAGATACATAGGAGAGCCGTGATACCTCTGGCTCTTTATTCCCCCCCCTCCCCCCACACCTCACAACCCCCTACCTCTGAACAGATGCCAGGGATAATACCAAGCCCCCGACCAACCATAAAGGTGGAATAATCTTATGGCGAGGAAACAAACAAAAACAGACGTGCAGCCATTAAACAGCTGCAAAGAGACAAAGTTTGCACGGGCGGCATAATGAGAGGCTACCATGCGTTCAGGTTGAGCAAACACGTTTGTGGGTGAGTGCAAGAAGAATAGGTGGGGGAAGCGCAGTGCTCAACACTGATACCGCATCAAAGTCAAGCCAGCAGCCGTCAATGGGCTCTGGACAATTTGCTGACCTCGACGCCTCGGTTCTGAGCTCAGTCGCTGGGGAAATATTGAGGGCAGGCGCTCACTCGGTAGACGCACACGCCTCCTTGCTCAACCTCACATGTCAAGAGTTTTGCTCCGGCAAGGCTGCTTGTGCTTCCTTCCACTTTGCCTCATCAGCCACTCTGACATGATCCTGGCTGAGGTTTTTCCCGACGTATATTGCGCAAGTAGCATTGAACGCCGCTGCCAAGAAAGCGCAAGAGAATTCCGTTCAAGCCAGTTTGGAGCGGATGAGTGGAGCTGTGGCCATCTCATTTGCATCCTTTGTCTCCTTGTTAGAAGAGCATGATGGAGCAGTGCCTGAACTGATTGGGATGGAGAGTATGTCAGTGTGTGTTTCTGTCGGCTGACTGACAATAAGAGCATCTGATCACTGGTCGTCTGCCTCGGCCTGACACACGGTTAGTGTTGCAATGAGATGGAAGCTTTCATTCTTGCATTCATCTTTGTGTTTCTGAGCTTTTTGCCTCCACTCATCGGCTCAAACATAAATTTAACAAAGGAAGATCTATTAAGAAGGAGCGTTCATTTGGGGAAAATTTACAGCACCGTCGTGTACATCAAGTGATTTTTTTTTTCTCTTTCTCTCGAGGTTAAAACATCTCCCCCCAGAGAGAATTGGCTTTCGAAATGTCTGTCTGGGTGAAATTGGAGATGACGCTAACTTATTCATTCCATTTCACTTCTTTGCACCACGACAGGCGGCAGAAAAAGCACTCGGAGAAAATATACACTATGCGACCCCGTCTTTAATATGGTTGTCACAATCAGTTCCAGTCCCCATGCGCCCAACAACAATTTGTGGGATGGATGACAACTGTCACCTTTCGTAGGGCGCAAAAGGCAGACAAAAATGAGGGTAACACTGATGGAGGTCGTCCATGATGGAGGGAGGTGCTGTCCTGGGATGACCGGAGGCCAAACGGTTTTGCTCCCTCTCCTCCTCCTCCTGCTGCTGCTCCTCCTCTTCCTCGCAAGCAACTGAGGGTGTCACTGTTCCTTTAGAAGGACAGATAGGGGTGCCTCTCGCAACACAGCATCGTCCTCTCCTTCTGCGTCGACTGTGTACCTCAGCTGACAGTAAATAATACAAAGCGAGGGCGGCAGACAGTCATGCACATACCTTTCTGTACTGCACTTAACATTACGTAGGAAACGCTCTCAGAGAATCCAGTCCCACACCTTAAGGCATCAGTAAGGACCATTTTAGAGTAATCCACCAATTAGCCATTTTGGTAAAGGCAGACGCTCCTCGAGGAAGGAAGCCTGTGGCACATATCATGTTTCAATCAATTGCATCCAATAGCTAACTTCAAAAATGCCTACAAACACGGAACACAACTCTGCATACAGTGACAGCATGTACGCGCTCCATTAGCCACATGGCCAATGGTGAGTTGCAACATAGGGGTGGCGAGGTGAATACGTCCCAAGCTCGCCACGCTGGCGAAGGCCAGTATGGCTGATCAAAATCACGCCGGCGGAGCCTGCGTCAACGGGCCTGCCTTCGAACAAGAAACGTCCTCATGCAAATCCAATCATTCTGCATTTCTCCAGATGGCCAGTGAGGCATTGAATTGGTTACAGTTTAATCACAACAGCGCTTGTCAAACCAATGTTAGTTATTATTTATATCTTCCGTTGGTGGCATGCTAGGTACGGTTAGCAATTTAGCACTACTGCAAACTCAGAATGGAAGAAGACTGGAATTTGGCGGTGGGTTCTGCAACCAAACAAAACTTCCTGCCGCCAAGCTGTGCTAAACGGCAAACAATTTCGGATTTCACCATCCATGTGTTGAAAAAAAAATTAAGCAGCATGACACAGCGAAACAACCATTTAATCAGGTCACAGATGGCCAAATCAAATCAACGTCAATTCCCGATGAGAAGAAGAGTCTGTTTTTTTATTCCGTGAAAAAGAAAGAAACACAAAAACTTTCATGAGAAGGAAGTCGTCAAGGGTGCCCATGACAGACCATCTTTCAAAACAAAGATAATGGAGGCCACGGGCATGTGTGTTTTCAGTGTCATTGTAAGGGAGGTCTCGTTTGCACATATTTTTCCCGCTTAAATTTAGCTGTGGCACGGAAGGCGGAGGCAGAGTATCAATGAGTTGAATTTACTCTTTTAACACCACAAGTTTCCAAAGAACTCGGAGGAGAACCGGAAGCCCGGCACCCTCCTAAAAAAAAGGGTGTTGCCGTAGATATCAGACCACCACACAGCCCGATGAACAATGAAGTCTCGCTGTTTGGAGAATCGGTTCATGTGTGTGAATATTAACTCGACAAGTTGGTGAGAAAAGCAACGTAATGGATTCCAGTAAACTTGCGTTTCAGTTGCCGTGTTTGAGCCAGGATAATTTCCTGTGACCAATACAATTGTTCACGGAGTCTGCGAAAAAATAAATTAAAAAGCCTGTAATAAAAACAAATTGAATTTGAACTATAATGCGTATTACCTGTCACTACTGGGGGAGAGAAACTTGCACCCAAGCCGATATCTGGAGAAAACATTATTTCTTTAAAAAAAAGTAAACTAAAAATACATCGTTAAAAATAATAATGAAAGAAAGCCTTCATAAGCACACAAATTCGCAAGACTTCCATGTCCTAATGGATCTTGTTCTTCCGTACCGTAGCATTAACCACAAATTAATCCTAAACAGATTACATGAATCAACACCACAAGGTCAAATGATGTTTTAATTTCACTGACTGTTCCCAAGCAGGC